GGCTTAGGGTTTCTTGTTTTATGTAAGGGCTTATAGGTTTTGTGTGATGGTTGAGGGTTTCTATAAGGGTTTAGGGTTTCTTTAAGGGTGGATGGTTCAGGGCTTGGGCTTGGGTGGTGATGCATGTATGTATGTTCGTATGTTCTCATGCTTACGTGGTATACATGTATATATGTATATAGAGATACACACACACACACACACACTTATGTATGTATATATATATATATATATATATATAATGGGAGGCTCCCTTAAGCACTACCGACCCTGTTTTGCATCGTAGACACTGTGTCATCTACATTATTTGTATGTACACACACACATGTGTGTTTGTATGCTGATTTCACTGAGTGTTTTTTAGCAGACATATGACACAAGCAGGTAGACACATGCACAAACATGCACCAGCCCCAGTAGCACAAACCCTTTGGTTTAAGCTGCTGTGGGGCAAGATGGTTTAGGGTTTAGGTAGCCTAAACCCAAAACCCCAAACCGTATAGCGGTCATACTAGGGAATTGGTGGCTCAGCGTTAGTTCACTCACGCTTTATTATTGAAATTGATAATGCCTGAGCCTTCAAACTGAAGCTTGCATATTAAACAACCAAACCATGCCCTACATCCATGCTGCAGTAGGGTTAAATTAATTAAGCTTAGCTCTTCAGCAGCATCAAAATTGAACATAGGATGATAAGTGTTGGTCATGGTATTCGCTGGTTTGCTGCCTTGCTCCTGGGGCATGCGAATGGCGAGTTTCGTCTGTGTGTCTGTGTCAGTTGTTCGAGGCTCTATGAATCAAGCTCGCAGCTCTAAAACCTGGGCCCCAAACCCTTAATAAAGAAGAGCACTCTGCAGTTCAAACAGGAGCCCTTAGAAAAAACACCCTTTATATAACCAGCCAGACATGGACGCCTTGATCGATGAAGCCGCGAAACGCTTTGGCCTCAGGTTATGATTTTGAAGAAAGGATGCTTCAAAAGAGGTTCTAAGGGGAGTGTGGTCAGTGTAAGGTTTATTTCCTGCAGAGGGACCCTCAAACATGACATGACAAAACGCTAGTGGTTTCAGTGCATTGGCATGTCGCTGATTATATGCTTGTCGGTGTCCGGAAATGCGTATATCTTCCTGAACTACCCACTATGAATCCAGACCCGTCAGCCCTTACTGCAAAAATCTACAGATCTTACCCTTCTTAGAATACTATCAACTAGGGCTCCAGTTGGAATCATTCGGCTTGCTTCAATCTGTCATGATGCCAGGGTCTGCCCCTGGGGTTTAGGGTTTGCATTTGTATACTTGTGTCGAATCATGTTCTGCAGGATTGTATAAGAGTTTCATGGTGCTTGGGTTTAGTGACGTTTGTCAGGATCTGTAGGATTGCATAAGGGTTCCGGCATGTGCTAAGGCAAGACAATTGGAAGAGCTGGTTTGCTGTTCTTGCTTTTTGTGTTCTCTGTCGCTCTCTCTCCTTGTGCCTCTCTGAGCCGTGGTAGACCTTGTAGGGGCGATCGGTTCAAGTTCAACTGACGGTAAGTTCTCAACTGCCTGCTGTATGCTGGTCCCTATGCAATATGGGAGTTTCCGAAAATAGGGGACCCTAATATAGTTCCCTAAATAGTAGGATCCTTATTATAAGGACCCCAAAATAAGGTCCCCCCCCGATTTTCGGAAACTCCCATATGGAGATATCGGGAAGGTGAGAGTCGGAACTGCTTTTTGAGGAGACATTGTTTTACCCAAAGGCCCCAAAGTAGTTCCTTTTGGGGGTTCGTATATAGACTCCTATAGGGTAATCCCAAAAAGGAACTACTTTTGGGCCTTAGGGTAATGTCCGTTTCTTAGGCGGCGGCTTCCTTTTTCCTTTTTTAGCTTTACCCCGGAGCTCCAGATGCTGGTCCTGTGGACCTCCCAGCTCAGCAACGGTTATGGCCTGTTTATGTACATGAAGCTCGTCCCCCGAAGCGCTCTTCCGAACTTCCCTAAACCGCCCTGAACCCTAAACCGCCCTGAACCCTAAACCCTATACCCTAAACCGCCCTGAACCCTAAACCCTAAACCCTAGCACCCTAAAACACTAAACCCTATACCCTAAACCCTAAAAGGCCCTAAACCCCATAATTACCGTTGAGTCCCATGGAAGCTCTTCGATTCGAGGCTCAGCAGCAAAACGGGAGGAGCGCGAGGCAAAGAGGCGCCACTGTCTGCGTCTTTCCTTTCCCGGCTGAGGTTGCAACTCGCCCGTACTATAGGGCTCGAAATAATCACCAATGCTATTCTGGGGCCTGGGGGTTCCTTATTGTAATTCCAATATGATGGGCCCAAAAATCCAGAGCTTCTAAAGGCGATGCATCGGCCGTTTTTGGCAGCCTGGGCCCAGAAGTCGGCTGAACATTGGTTGTAGCGTTTTAGAGTTTAGGGTTTTAGGGCTTCAGGGTTTTAGGGTTAAGGGGCCGGGGTTTTAAGGGTTTAGGATTTTAGGGCTTTGGGGTAATAGGGCTTTTGGAGTTTAGGGTCTAGGGTTTAAAGTTTGGGCTTAAAGGGTTTAGGGTTTCGGCATCCAGTGGCGGGGAAGCTTCCCCACCATCCACAAACCCTTCGCACCTAAGAAACAGAAAGAAACCCTACACTATACATCCGATAAAACGCCCGCTAAACACTTAAACGATCCCTTAGCCATAATTACACAGTAGCCGACACACCCTATCGAACCTGAAACCCTGCTACTATATGCCGTCATTATTATCAGCCCGGTATCTGTTCTAAACCCCACTTAACCGCCGAAAACCTGCCTTGGTCAAGACACTATAGTAAGAAACCATAGTCAGGAACCCTTGAAGGGTAGGTTTCTTGGCTGCAGGTACGCCCCTAAACTTCCAGCTCCGAACCCTCGGCCCCCCCAGAGACCAAAAAACCTTGAACCATAAACAGGGTCTAGGGTTCAGGGTCTTGAGTCTAGCGTTTAGGGTTTAGGGTTGAGGATTTCCTAAACCCAATAGAAACTTCAAAATACCAAGCCGAGAGGCGCGAGGCGCGCCGCGAGAGGCAAGCGGCCACGAATGCGCGTAGCATCCTCGGCTTCTTGCGACACCCTGGCGTAGGGGCTGTAAGGGTTTAGGAGTTGCCTAGACCCCCCCAACTACCCTGTATTATACCCCAAATACCCGCTATTAAGGACAAAGGGCCATTGGGGGGTCCTGGTAGGATTTGGGGGTTCAGGATTTAGGTTTTAGCGTTTGGGTTTAGGGTGACCCTAAGGGCTTTTGATTAGAGGGTTGAGGATGTAACCATAACCATGACTCTACATTTTATTGGCTGTAAACTCAACTTTTCAACTTTTGTTGTTCTGATAAGGTAGTCGATTCTGAAAGTTTCAACTTCTATTCCCTGGGGTTTTGGGCCAGTGAGCTACGGGCTGAATTTAATAGGGACCCTCAGACTCTGAGACAGACTCTAAGGCTTTAGAGATTTCGTTTAGGATTTAGGTTTAGGGTTCAGTCACACTCTAAGGCTTTAGGGATTGGTTTAGGATTTATGTTTTCGGGTTTACAGTACAAGCCCAAAAGTTGGAAACCCAATAGCCTCAATCCTTAAGAGTAATGTATAAGGGAATCCCAGCACTATTTGGCCTCAATCCGGTTTCCAACTCTATGGGGTTTGCAATAGCGCTGGGATTCCCTGTGCACTACTCTCAAGCATTGAGGCTACGGGGTTTCCAACTTTTGGGCTTCTACTGTATAGGGTTTATATGGGTTACGGGATTTAGGGTCTAGGCTCGCTGTCATTACCTCTAGAGGAATCCCTTTCGTAGGTCAGTTTCAATGCCAATGGACCCATCGGACTTGTGAGGTTTTTTGTAAGACGGGTCATGCAAAGGTTTTGTAAGGCCTTGATCTAGTGCTTAAAGGTCTCATGTGAGTTATCACGGAAAACTATAGCAATGTGAGAAATGATGAATATGTTATGCATGTAATCACCAAGAGTACAAGGAACAACGTTCACAACTGTCACAATGCCATGGTGCCGGTGGCAATGATGGCAGGCGCAGCAATTATCCACACGTTTCCTCTTTCTGCACCTTACCCTCGTCGCCATTCTCGTCCTTCGTTTTCTGCACCACTATCCAAGACCCTGCGCAGCTTTGGCTCCAGTTACGTAGTTGACTTTTGTCTTTTCGTGCTGCGAAGACCGCGGCGTTGCCGAGCTACCTGGCTGCAGTATACATATTGGATCAGGGTGTAGCTGGCACTTGAGCCTCAGGAACTGTCTCTAAGGCTGGGAGGACTCGTGATTTCAGGCTCTGTCGCCCAAAGACCAGAAAGTACTTGGCCGAGTTTGTAACTGCGGTTCTTCTTCTTTTCCTTACTACAGTTGTATCAGAAAGTATGATGATAGCTTAGAAGCTGCCCCCACCCTGTAATAGTGGTATAATAGGAATATAATAGGGCCCTAATATAATCCTTATAGTAGCCTTGTAGTCAGTATTACAGGGTGGGGGCAGCTTCTAAGCTATTAGTGCAGTCGTCATTCTACCACACCGGCTCAGGGTTCAAGGTTGGGTGTGCCGGGCCAAATTAACTCAAAGGTTCTCAGGAGAGAGTTGAAGGCTTTTGGGTCCCCCAAAAACGTTTAGGACTTCGGGTCTTAGGGTTTACTGTAGGGTTTAGGGTTTAGGACTTCGGGTCCAGTTATTTCTTGTAAGGCTGACCACAGCGCAACAACCTTCCACGGAGGGAGCTGGCCTTCTAGGCTACGGCTTGGGGTCAAGGCTTACAGTTCCATGCTAGCCATGAACTTGGGAAACCAAAACAGAAACTACCTTAACCTACCAAAACCTACCTTTTTGTAGGGTCCCTATAAATCCCATATTAAGGTTGATCATAAGAACCTACAAAAAATAGGGTTTAGTAGGTCTAGGTATATTCAATGGAGACAAGAAGGTGCTATACAGGTACATGGCGCCCTAGGGTCCCGAACCTTGTCCCCAAACTCGTGAGGCTCATGGTGCAAGCTGTTGCGCCCAACGGAAACCCTGCTTGGCGTCGAAGGCCTCGCGGTCATGTTCCTTAAGGACGAAATGAACCCTAAAAGGGTTTAAGGTTCATATACCATATATTCATTCATAGTATATGGGTATAGGGCCCCTACTTTTAAGGGTCATTTGGTCCTTCAGGTTCGCACTCTTTTGAGTAATGCGGAGTTTTTCAGGTTTCATAGTTCAGGTGTCTTCGGGGCTGATGCATCTCATGGGTTTCGAGTTTAACTATAGGCGTTTAGGTGATTATGGCTTACCTTAAGGAAACCCTACACCCTAGGGGCGCCAAGGTTCAAAATATCTCCAAATATTCAATGGTTTCGTGGGGCTTGGTTCTAAGTCGAATTATAAGTACCCCAGTTCGGTACTACCGTTCACTCTAAGCCAGTCCATGATCCTCCAATCTACTTACCCTAAGGGTCCAAGAACCTAGCAAATCACATATTCTCGTAAATTCAATACTAGTTTACATAACTACTGTAGCCTGGACCCTAAACCAGTAAACCCTAAACCTTAAACCCCTAAACCCTAAACCCAAGCACCTATTATTGGGTCCTTTGGACCGTTAGGGTCCCCACCAAGTATCCTAAGACTTTCGATCGTGGTTTTGGTTTCAAACTCGTGGCCCCACACCCTCCATCCTGAACCTAATAGATGCTGAATGCCCGAAGCCCTGAACGAAAACTCTCAAGTTATGCAGTTTAACTCCTAAGTTCTTAAGAGCGAAGTCGCAAAGCTCACAAAGGAGTTGCGTGTTCTGGGTTTTAGGATGTACTGGTTCGGGCTGGACCCGACACTGGACGCATGTCGTTCGTTCCCCAATACACTCAACTTCAAGCTCTGACATAGGGGCCTGAATAATCACCTATACTATTTTCGGGGTTCCTTAAGTATTATGATTATTTTAAAATATACCCCCCAAACCGAAACCCTATTCTAATTAAAAAGGCCCCTATATCACAGGCCGTATTCCCCAAGACCATGGAGCCTTCATTCAATCCCTATGCTCTAAACGGACGTAGTATCACTCTGAAGGGTGACGTCTCAGGGGCTTTTCTTTCTGTAGGATGTGCTCGTAGGGTGGCCATCCCTCCTGGCCTCCTGGCCTTCTAGGATGTTGCAGACTGCCGCCCCCTGGAAAAAGGAGTTCAAACAAAAAAACCTCCCTAGCACGAAACAAAAGCCCTGAACTCCTAAATCCCGCACCCCCTGCCACACGAGTGTGCAGGATATGTGTCTTCTGCAGCGCTGCCATCGTACTGGTTTCGGCCACGATTCTGGGGGTGGGCAGCTCAAGCCTAGAGGTTTGTAGTGTCACGGGGGTCAAGGAGCCCCTGAAACCCCAGGCCCTCTACCATTCATAAAGGGTTTCAGGTTTAGGGTTTAGGGTTTAGGGGTAAAAGGGGGTGATGGGGTATTGCTGTGGGATATGGTGGGTATGCTCTGAAGTGAAGCTGTCATTTCCTTTCCTGGCCGTTTGGGACCCCCAGATTTCCTGCACGCCGAAGCGAAACCCTAAACCCTTAACCCCTAAAGCCCCAAAACCGTCAAACCCTCAACCCCTAAAACCCTAAACCCCAAAAACCCTGCGTTCTCGGAGAAAGCACACTTTGGATTCTCCTGGGTCTCGTTTTTTCGGCAGTCCATGTCTGGAGCTTACCGTGAACATCGTCTTGGCTCCGGTGACTGATGTCAAAAAACCCCAAACCCTAAACCCCACCTGTGGATCCAAAAATCTACCGTTGTAAGGGTTAGAACCGGTTAGAACCTCTAATGAAGGGGTCATAACCTACCATTTTGTAGGGTTTGGGGATACAGGTAAACCCTATAAGCCCTGAACCCTACCCTAAACCCGAAACCGGGTCATTTTGCAAAATGGAGCAGTGCAAGACTTGCTGGGGCCTAAATAATTACAAACACTGTTTTTTGGGTGTGCACTTTTTCAAACTTGCTTTTTTGGGGGCTCTTTGCGACAGTTTTGGGGCTTCCGCATCATAGCCGCTATACTCATACGATTATTTCTAAGAAGACTAAGAATACTAATATAATGAGCCCCAACACCGAAGGATTGAGGCCCGCCCCTACATGCGACCTCCATAGTGCTCGTGCTGACGCACTTGCATTACACACCTCTACTCACTGTTACTCACTTGCAAACTTTAAACTCAAATCGTTTAGAGCCTGAATCATTCATAAGAAATACACCCTCAACGCTACCTCAACCCTAACTCTTCAGGTTGTGATCTGGGAAGCTCAGAATGCTGATGACTCCGAAACTATGAAAAGCTCCAGGGCAGCATTTCTCCTGTAGAGTCGGTGTTCCAGGCCCGGCTCACCTAAGGCTCCTACTAGGGGCCTATAAGGGTTCCTTTAAAGGGATCTGCAAGGGCTACTGTAAGGCTATGATAAGGATTTAAGATAGAAGCCTGAATAAGAATTGCCTAGACTTTTTGGTGGATTTCTTATCATACTTGTGGTAAAAGATTCCCAAAACCCTACTCTAATTATTAAGGACCCTATATCACTGTGTGCAATGCCTGGGGTTTTGGGTCTCTGGCTTCTTTATCAAGCCTGTGGGGTCGGCAAGGTTGAGCACTTCTGAAGGTTCCTTTAGGGTTTAGGGTTTAGGGTTTAGGGTTTAGGGGTTTAGGGTTTAGGGTTTAGGGTATAGGGTGGAGGGTACTTGCTGAACTGTCATTTGCAGCTCAGTGGGATTGTTACGGCCGCTCCGTTCACAGATGGAAGCAGAGAGTTTCCGCCTGCAATGTTTTAGGGGTTTTGACGGATGTTATGTTTGGTGCTCAGGGCTCACGGCTTGGGGTCACTTTTGTTGTGTCCTCATGCGCAGGTGCCGTATACTTGTGGCAGTACACCCCCGAACACAAAAGCCGAAGCCTGATAAAGATCAGAGAAACTTTCATAAAGCCACCAATTATAAAAACTTGCTGTGGCTCCAATGAAACTCCGAGAAAGAAACCCTAAGCTGCCCCAATGTAGGAACCTGACTAAGAAACCCTGGGTCTAGAACCCAAAATAGTAGGATGCATAAAAGGAGCCCTAATAAATTAGGATGTCCTTAAGGGGGGGTGGTCCAAGGGGGGTAGGTAACCTAGTAATCCCCATTATTCCCCAATACTCCCTAAGCTTCCCTAAGGTTCCCCAAAGCTCCCTAGTACCCTCCCCCCTTGAACCACCCCCCCTTAAGGATCCTATAAAATAAAGGCCCAGGTTTCGTAATCAGGTTCCTACATTAAGCCTGATGCTTCTAAGAACCGATGTCCTGCGGCAGTGCCGCTCTTTGTGGCGTCCTGGCGCTGGAGAAACCCAGGGCCGACTGTGTCCGTAGTCAGAACGAGTAACTCTGGTGTTCTAGTATAGCGGCTGAAAATATTACCAATGCTGTTTGGGAGTTCTTTTTGATAATTAATGAGCCCCAAAACCCTATTGTGATTATTCAGGCCCCTATATTTATGTCGGTAATTAGAACGAGTAACTCTGGTGTTCTAGCACGCTGGTTTCATGTTTGGAATTCCAACTAGGATGCCCAGTAGTACCCTTATTCCCTTTTTGTAGTCCGAGGTTCCTTATAAAGTTACCCAATACCAAAAAGAGAGGCCTTTTTATTCTTAGGTTACTGGGTATCCTAGTAAGTCTTGAACTGATTGTGGTTTCGGTTTTGTGCTCAGGGCTCGGACCTTGACTTTGGAAGTTTGGTGTTCAGTTTAGAGCTTGGCGTTTTTCTGCATAGAACTTTAGTACACCAAGCAATAGAAAGGTAGCTTGTTAGGGTGCAGGTAGTTCTACAGCAGCCATTCGTGTGCTTTAATGCCACTGGGTTCTACAATCTGACCTTCTTTCTAATAAAGTGGATGGCTTAGAAGCTGCCCCCACCCTGTAATAGTGGTATAAGAGGAATATAATAGGGCCCTAATATAATCCTATATATAATCCTTATGTTCACTATTACAGGGTGGGGGCCCCTTCTAGTGGATGGCCCACTAGCGCTGCCTGCTCGGCAGCATGAATTCAGAGCCTTTCGCTTCACGACCAACCATGATCCCTAAGCTAAACAGGCACATTAAACCATAAGCCCAGAGGGTCCAAGTACTCCCTATTGTAGGACTTTAGGGCCTTTTTAGGTACCAAAAACCATAAATAAGGACTACTTGGACCCTTAGGGAAGCCCATCAAGTCTAAACGCTAGTTACCTCGAGCCCCAAACTCCACTGGCGGCCCCAAACGCTACAGAAACCCTGATCTAGATCATTAAGGCCCCTATGCTACCCTTACAGTAACCCTTATCATAGCCCCTTCAAACAGAACACTTCGAGCAACCCATCTTTTACTCTTTAGTCTTAAGGCCCTGTATATGACCGCCCCAAAAGATCTATAATGGCCTTCTCATAGGGGCCAGCAAGAGCACATAAGCATAAGCATCTTATGGGGATATCCCTACCTTATTGGGCTTCATTATAAGGGGATTTATATTGGATATCCCTATCCTAATTTTTGGGTATGTGCTTTTTTGGGGCCCTATCTCGGGCTCTTATAGAAACCCTCAACCCCAGTCGATTTGGGTGTTTCCGAAAATAGGGGACCCTCCTATAGTACCCCAAATAGTTGGATCCTTTTTATAAGGACCCCAAACTATGGTACCCCTAATTTTCGCAAGCTCCCGTTTGGAACAACAAACCCTAAACCATTAACCACTTACAACCAAAACGGAGAAGGAGTCTGGTCTGGGCAGCGGCCTTTACCATCATGCGGAACCCAGCGTCCACGGCCTCTGGCCGGAGACGCCGCTTGCCGTCTTTTCAGGGGTTAGGTCTGAGGCCCTTACATTATAATGGCGGAAACTCAATGGAATAGCGGAATTAAACGCATAGTATAATGTAGTTTCATAAAAAAGTACCCATGTACACATATATACACACATGTGTATGTGTGTATATATATACATATATATATATATATATATATATATATATATATATATATAATATACACGTGCGTATACACACACATGTATATATATATATATATATATATATATATATATCAGTAGACTAAGAGAGCAGCGTCAACCCGTGGGCTTAGGAGTCGGGTCCCTTCAAGTCCTCATTTAATTATAGACGGGCCACCTAACCGTGCAGCCCCCCTGCCCAAGATGCACTAAAACACCCATGAAACTCGCACAACCTGAATCCCTAAACCCTGAACCCTAAACCTTAAGCTTTAAATCCTAAACCTATGAACATCGTAAAACCTGAATCCCTAAACCGACTGAGGCGGCCAGGGGGGATCCGGGAGGTTGAAAGTTTGAGAAAATGCAGTGCTCCACTGTAATATACAAGTCCCGACAGGCATTGGTGTTCATTATTAATTAATGTCCAAGCAGTGTCCCGAGATACTTGTATTATTAAGTCACCGCAAAGCCCACTTCGAATTATTTCAGACCCGCTTATAAATGCTACATGATGGAATGCTTCATGGGTTCTTCACCATTATAGACACATGGAGCCCTTATCCTTGCTCACAGCAACCTCAGCCATCCTTCATGCAAGCCATATGGGAGTTTCCGAAAATTGGGGGGTACCTTTTTGGGGATCTTTATAATAAGGATCTTACCATTTAGGGTACTATAGTAGGGTCCGCTATTGTCGGAAACCCCCATATAAGGCTCAAATGCATAATTTCTAGATAATTTGGAGAGGGTGAGGGGGGGGGGCGTTCGGGCATGTTCGGGCTTTGATCTTGCTTGCAATGGTTTTGCTTGTCAACGAGGTGTTGAGTGTTTGCAGCGCTTTCGGCTTAAGGGCTTCATGTTAGAGGCTGGAGGGTGTTTGTTTGCTCGCCTCATGCCACGCAGACTCCTGATTTTTCCATGTCGGCTTGTCTAGAATCTAGAAACCAACAGAACTAGTTCAATGTTTCGGAACCCGTCTCGGTTCAAAATACGGTGGGTTAATTGGGCTTTAGGATATGGTATTATCAGGTTCCCAGGTTTAGGGTTTGGGGCTGAGGATGTTTGAATCTAGATTTAGGGACTGAAGAAGTCTTCTGTCTGAAGACGGCATTATACCCAACCCTAAGGGTCCAAGTACCTAGTGATCATATACTCTCCAAGATAGTGACATACATAACTACTATCCTAAATGTCAGGTCCTTTGGACCCTTTTAGGGTCCCATCTTCGCAAAGGCAAAAATTGAATCCTTAAGTAGCCCTGATAATAGCTGTTATAGACCCCTTTTAAAGGAACCCCATTCTAATTAGGGCCCAGGGGCCTTGAAAAGGGGTAGGGTATGAGCCTCTAGGGACAGTGGTTAAGTCCATTGTTTGCCGTGCAGGCCTCCCTACGGGAGCTCCCGGTGCATCCACCCGAAGTCGAAGGCCAGGAAGGTTAGGGTTGAGGCTTCAGGGTTTAGGGTTCGTCAGTGTCGAGGGTTCAGGGTTTAAGGTTTAGGATTCAGGGTTGAGGGCTTTGGGTTTAGTATTTAGGGTTCAGGGCTCAGGGCGTAGGGTTTAGAGTTCAGTTTTGAAGGTTTAGAGTTTAGAGTGAATGGAGTCCAGCGGGTTTAGGACCTGTAGGCCCTGAGGGTAGAGAGCTTGCACTGCAACCTTAGCGAAATTTGGAGGCACTCAAGTCTCCACCCAGAGACTCCAATATCCCGTATATCAAGGAATGGTAGTAGGACCCCAGTATGATTTGGGGAATATTCCTTAATCAAGGGATATTGGAGTCTCTCTGGGCACAGTTGTGGCTTCTTGGAGTTCCAGGAACTGCATCGGAAAGTTTACCAGGAAGCCCCAAAGCCGGACCTACACAGTGGCCTTCCCCTGAGACTCCAAATATCCCAAAGTAGATAGTATTTCTAGACTTTAGACCCCAAAGTAGGTAGTATTTGTATACTTGGAGTCTTAGGGTTCTGGTCCTGAATAGTCGGATTTGGGTCTAAGTATTTATATAATTAGGGTTCATTTTCAAAGGATACGGGCCTCAGAGTTTGAGGATTCTGGTGTAGCCCTTGGGGCACTTGGGTTCCCGGTGGTCAGATGTGGGGGGGACGTTTGGGGTTTAGGGTGCTTTCTGAGGTGCCGCTTTATGAGTCGGTAACTGTCACTTGTCCGTTCAACGTGCACGACATTGTTCTTGCTACGAAGAATGTGTGCGAAATGATGTGCAACTGAGTATAGGCACCTGGCAGTGTTCACTGCATTTAAAAATCAGGTATACAGAATTTGACGCACATGTCACTGTCAGGGTAATCTGGCCGAGAGCTGGCGCTGGGCTGGTGCATGCATAGCATCATGGCGAGTGTCAACCACATAGGTCTTAATTGCTGGTTTAACGCGTTCAAGCCCAATGTCGTCTGTAACAAGGGTCAAGGTTTGTTAGCAGTTAACACTTTAGGTCTGGTTCCGAGCCACTACACATCCCAGAACGCACCGGATCGAAATTGTTCGAAGCAGAACTTCACAACCTACAGACCCTCAATGACTCAACAGTCATGGCCTTCAAACTACATAGCGAACCTAAACCCTGAGCCCTCCCATGAAACACCGTGAACTCTACGCAATCCCAAATCCTACTTGGAGGATCATGGGACTTAGTAAGTAGAGTTAGTTATAAGTACCTTAATTGGGGGGTATAAGCAATGATAACTGTAGTTACCCTATTTTTAACCCCAGCTACTAAGTCCCATGATCCTTTAAGTAAACCTTAGCCCAAGGTCGCGCCGTCTTCCCTGCCCAGCTGCTACAGGAACCAGGATTGGAGCGCCGAAAGTGTTGGTTTTTCCTTAAGGACGACATGAACCCTAAAAGGGTTTAAGGTTCATATACCATATAGGGATTCATAGTAATATGTGGGTGCAAGGCCCCTTTTTTTAAGGGTTGTTTGGTCCTTCAGGTTTGTAGAAGATATGTGGGGATCTGAAGAAGCAGTAAGTAGGGAGTTAGGGCGTCTCCTCATGTACTTTTGGATCGACTGCATCCTCCCCAATCCTCAGTCTACCTATTCAAGCCCCCAATGTCAGGCAGGTGATTGACCCTAAGCCTTAAACCCCCAGGAGTGGGGGGGTGTGGAGGGTGGGACGGGGGTGGAGGTTAGGGTCTTAGGATTCAGAGTAACATGGTTGGTTTAGGATTTACATAAGCTCTTCAGAGGCGTTTCGGCTAAGGGTCGAGTAGTTGGGAGAGGGTTTTGTCGTAATTGCAGCTTCAGCATCAGCGTCCCCTAAACCCCTAAACCCTAAACCCTAGTCCACCGTAGACAATTAGCCCGGCAAGCCCTCAATCCCAGGCCAGCCTGCACTCTCGTAGGAGACCAAAAGGGGTTTTAGCCTATGGGGGTTTAGTAGGGACTTGGGTTCCCATAATAGGGTTCATGCTAAGGAATCCCTACCCCAAGAATCTTAAACCACCCTTTTGGCCTCCCATCAAACTCTGAAGCCTGAACCCTAAACCCTCCTTTGCTCAAGGAGGCTGCCAAAGACCCCGAGCACGAGAAAGAGCATCGGCCTCAGCGTGCTTTTGTGATTTTCTGAGAGGGTGAGGGGTGTTGGGCCGAAAAGGCTTAGGTCTTGGGGCTTTGAGTTTTGTTTTCAGGATTTGGGGTGTAGGGTTTAGGGTAGGACCAAAGGTTTAGGGTTTGGCGCCTGGATGAATTTTGATTAGGACTTGATTCAGGGTTAACTTCTGCCTATCTCGGGAGTGGGTAAAAATCCATTAAACCCAAAATCTTAAGCCCTTACCTGGACCCTAAGGAGCCCATATTCTTAGGGTTCCTTAATATAATTTCCTTATATAAGTCCCTAAAACGGCAGGTTATCCGGGGTTAAGGTAGTAGTAATCCACTATTGTGCAGAGTTTCGCGCAGCAGGCAGATGTTCGGGCGTGAGGCTTGGGGTTTAACCTGTCGAAACCCCAAGTCCCATCAGCCCCTACTTGGCGGATCATGGGACTTAGTATGTAACGTTATAAGTACCTTAATTGGGGTTATAAGTAATTATAGCTGTAGTTACCTTATTGATAACCCCAATCACTAAGTCCCATGATGCTTTAAGTATGTACCCAACAACCAGGACCCAGGACCCCCCAATAGCCCTTGAATGGAGCCCTTATGGTCCTAAACCCCTTGTACTTTAGGGACCTGCATAATGGCCACTATTATTGTTAAGGCTCCTTACCATAAGTAACAGTATAGTATAAGATACCCGACTAGTTATTAAGGCCCCTAAGTACCCAAGAAGATGCCCTCTACCGCACCTTTGATCAGCGAGAGACCCCCAAAGCATAGACCCTGAACCCTAAACGCCCCGGCAATCCCGGAGGTTCGTGGACCACGAGTGGACCAAGCACGGGTCGTGTGCCTTGGATAAAGTGACAAAGAGAGACAGCCCAGCTATGATTTTGCAACAACAACAACACCAGCAGCAGCAGCAACAGCAGCAGCCACTACAACGGCAACAGCAACAACAAGAACAGCAGCAGCAGCAGCAACGGTAGCAACCAGGACAGCAACAGGAAGTTAGATTTGGAGCAGTAGTAATGTTAGCATCGGCAGCTATCTGAAGATTCGACAAGCCCCCATCGCCGAAGCAACGAATCCCCTTAGGCTGATAAGCTGGTGATCTTGATTTGGGAGTTTCCGAAGATAGGCGAAATCACCTAGATAGTAATTGTAATTCGGATCCTTATTATAAGGACCTCGAACTAAGGTACCCCGATTTTTCGGAAACTACCGAATGGCACTCCCCATCCTTCCCCCCCCCCGGAGTGGAAGCTCGGTTCTGCAACGCTCTACAACTCCCTATCCCTGAAGTCCTAAACGTGGAAGCTCTAAGCCGCACTGCCTTGCAGCACGATCCCCACTGGGAGGGTCATGGGTAGTGATAAGTGGGCTTATAAGTAGGGGTACTATAGTTGTAACAAGCAAGATCGGAGGGAGTTGGGTATCAAGGCGCCGGCACCAGCAACGGCAAGAACTACTTTCAGCAGATCTGCAATATGTCAGAGGACCCGTTCGATATTCCCCAAACTCTGGAAGCATTTATGCCGCATGGCTATACTATAGAACCCTGACAAGTTCTCAAGAGTGAACACTCTTAAGGGTTCCTGACTATAACTATACCATGGTCTGCGGAGGGTTTTGCGCTTTAAGCTCTCGGGCTCCAGGGATTTTTGATGTCAGGTTGAAGTCATCCTCCGACTCATGTGACTACCGCTCCACGCTTCCAGTTGCTTGCGGTCGTGATTGCAATTGCATTTCTAAAGTCTAAAAACCCTAAGACTCCAAATAGCCCCAAGTAGGTAGTATGTATAGCCTTTAGACCCCAAAGTAGGTAGTATTTGTATACTTGGAGTCTTAGGGAAATATTTATTGCGATTGTCAGGCGCCAAAAGCACTTCAAGGAAGGGGCACTTACTTGGAGGTTTATGGGTAGCTATAAGTGGGCTTATAACTAGGGTTACTATAGTTATAACCCATATCAAGGGACTTATATCTCCACTTACCTTATAACTCCACTTATAACTCCAGTTATAACTCCACTTACAACTCCACTTATAACTCCACTTATAACTACCCATGAACCTCCAAGTAGAGGAGCCTCTGAAAGTGATCGCCGCCGGATTGAAGAAAAGCCATGACCTTCACGATGCTTGTTCGCAGCGTACGAAGTAGGGTTTAGGGTTTAGGGCGCAGAGTACGGAGTTCAGGGCTTTAAAAAAAATTCTCCACTGTAGTTCCTTTTTTCCCCAAAAAATAACGGGTTCTATGATAAGTTTGCCGCAAAAAAACGAACTAGAAGAGAGGCTACAGGTAGGTTTTTTCCCGTCCCATCCATGTTTCGGTAGAGGACCCCTAAACTCCTAGGATGCCCAGTAGTACCCTTATTCCCTTTTTGTAGTCCTAGGTTTCTTATAAAGTTACCCAATACCAAAAAGAGAGGCCTTTTTATTCTTAGGTTACTGGGCATCTTAAACTCTAAAACCCCATCCCGGTCTGGGTTTCACAGTTTAGGGTCCTGCCCTCCATGGGTTTAAGTTGCTACAGTATCAGCTCTGAGCAGTCTTCGCAACCAAATACATATATATATATATATATACATATATTTATATGTATACATCGGGTTTAGGGTTCAGAAAAGTTGACACTGCTGCGGGGGTCTTCTGGATCGTTTCGTGAGTGGTTGTACGTAGAGGTTTCGAGTACATACCCTAAGACTCCAAATAGCCCAAGGTAGGTAGTATTATTTATAGACTTTAGACCCCAAAGTAGATAGTGTGTGTATACTTTAGACCCCAAAGTAGGTAGTGTTTGCATACTCGGCATCTTAGGGATACTGAGACGCGAATTCTGATTAGGGGCCTCACGGGCTCCTTCAAAGGTTCCGTTGAAAGGGGTCTACAAGAGGCACCATAAGTGAATCAATAAGGGTTAGCTGAAAAAGGGACGATCAGGGTGATACTATGAGGATATAACTGTAACTGTAGTTCTCTAAGTAAGGGTCCCGTTTTAGGTCCCCAATATCCTACAACACCCTTATAAAAGGATCTTGAAAGCGACCCCAATCTAGAGAACTACTCATCTTGCTCCTTTATTCGGACATCTATTAATCTAGTTCTCTAAATAAGGGTTTCTTTTCGACACACCCCCCAAAATATGTATATGTATATACATATATATATATATACATATATATATATAACATAATAATTGTACGGTACCCTTATCGAAGGGATGTTAAGGCGACCCGCTCATAGTCATGAGGCTCTCGTGAGTGAGCTCGAGAATTCGAACTTCTCCGTCCATGAGCCGCTTGCTTGCAACTTGCCGCCCCCATGGACACTCCCCCTAAATTTCAGTTAAGGTTCAAAAAGTTACACATACATTACATAATATGTAAATATCTGTATATGCATATGCATATCTGTATATATATATACACATACATACACACACACACACACACACTTCTAACTTGCTCAAGCGATGTATGGACTATGGGCTTCATTTCTTAAATAGGGGCGCTTTGGGAGCCTCGGGGCCCCCAACCCTTCGGACATAGGGTCCAAGCTTGCGGGTTTGGAGCCCAAAGCGTGGAGAAAGCTCCAAAAGGGCTTTGGGGGTTTAGGGTTTAGGGGCTTAGGGTTTGGGGATTTAGGGGTTTAGGCTTTACAGGCAAGGGATTTAGGCGTTTAGGGTTCAGGGTTTTGGGGTTTTGGGTTTGAAGGTTTATAAGGTTTAGGGTAAAAAACCAGCAAGTTAACACGTTTAGGGTTTAAGAATATAAGGGTGTAGGGTACACAGGAAGCCAAAAGTAAACAGCATAACCCTACAGTGCAAGACGCAAATCGGTGCTCCATGCCCGGTTCAGCAAGACTCAAGCAGCGACCTCCCACGCACGCGGCTATATGGAAAACCTGGCTTGGAACTTGGAACAAGCTTGTTCTACTCTCCTCTACCAATGCTCTGCGCAAAGCCCACACAAACGCCTGAGAACCCAGCCGTAGTCCAAGACAATCATAATGCCCGAACTTGAACCCTAATCCATCCTAATCCCTAAAACCGATGCCGGCTTGCAGATCTTTGACCCAAATCTTGCATGCTGGCTCAGGACGGGTCCAACCTAAACACTAACTAACCCTAAAGCCCTAAACCCCAAACCCTGACAGACCTGCCCTAAACCGTAAACCCTAAACCCTCAAACCCTGAACTCTAAACCGTCGCCCTAAGCCCTTGAACCCTAAACCCTAAACCCTTAAACCTGCAGGATCGATCCGGAATTCGGCCAGATCATGCTTTCGGCTTGCGCAGTGGCCGACGCCAACGGCAATTATGCGGCTAGGACTGGCATTCAGAGGGGTTCCTTGAAGGGCTCCTTCAAGCGATCTTCAGGGGTTCCATAGGGGAACCTTCAAGGGATCTAGAGCAGTTCCAGATATTGCAAACCCTTTACCTATAGTCTCCATTGTAGTTCCTTTTTGGGGTCACCTTATAGGATCCTAATTATATTTGGTAAACCAACAAAAGGAACTACAATGGAGACACTAGGTAGTTCATGAACTCCGTAGTTGACCGTGTTGGCAGTCAGGGGTTATTGCCTTACCCTAAGACTCCAAGTATACAAATTACTTTGCGTTCTAAAGCCTGTAAATACTACCTACTTTGGGCTATTTGGAGTTTTAAGGTTAGTCTTGCTTCGTCAGAGGGCTTGGGGTGCAGGCTTTATGTCGGGCTTGGGGTTAGGGGGCCCTAGGACCAACAGCGAAACTCAAAGCAAAGGCCTCTGCAAGGTGTGTTTGGGGTTTAGGGTTGAGTTGAGGCGGTGTGTTTAGGGTTTAACTGAGGGTTCTTTGCTGCGCTTCACGTGGCTAGATCCGGTTGGATGTATGGATAGTAAGAAGAGTCTGGGTGCACAATGAGTGCACAAGCCTCAGCTACTTCTGCAAATCATTAGGAGTGTGAAGGGGAGGGAGGTAGGGGGACTTAATAGCCCTAATAAGGATAAGGATTCGATAAGGGTAGTAAGTCCCTCCCCCTACCCGCCCTAAGGGTATGAGCAAGCTGCACCGGCAAGCATGTAGTCAGTCAGTGCAGCACCGATGCCTCACAACTCGATGTATGTTTCTGCGTACATTCATACATACATACATACGTAAACAAGCAATGGTAACAAAAACACAAACAGATATGTGTATTTGTACATGTATCTTTACATATGTGTATATATACACACACATAGATATGGGCAAACGCACAAACAAATACACACAATCCATGACATACATATGTACGTATATATGTATGCATCTACATATATGCACATATATACATACTATCTTTTTATAGATGTGCATGTGTATGTGTGTACATATGTATATATATATATATGTATAGATGTACAGGGTTCCGGAGGGAGCGCAGGGAAGAAACCACCTATATACCCTAAACCCTAAACCCCAAAACCTACACCCTAAACCTCTAAACCCCTAAATCCCAAACCTCCAAACGCCCAAACCCCTAGACCCTCAGGTGTGGAAACTCGTCGCAGAGGCAAACTTCAATGAATCGTGCTCGAGGCTGGACACGGGGTACGTTCTGTCCAAAATGAATGGGTTCGACAGCCACAGAACCTGACACGGATCCTTAGGCGGGGTAGTAGGCAAAGCTGACGCAGAACAGCATAAATCCCGCATCAGAATTGGGTCAGGTTTGCTGGGGTAGTTCAGGAAGCTTGCAAGGTAATTTCAGCAAGATCAGAGAGCTTGCAAGGTAGGTTCAAGGCGATCAGGTAGCGTGCAAGGTAGGTCTTGGGTGGCAGCGGAAGCCACATAAGCAGATCTCTGTCTCTCTCATTCGTTTTAGTATTTCTCTTTCTCTCTGTCTTCGTCTTGATATGTAGTATGTATGTTGGTTCCTTGAAGCCGCCCAAAGCTGAAACCGACCTGCGCAGTGGGGGTCCAACACCTTCGCCGCCGGCCCCGCCAACACCGGGAGCGTCGTGTCAGGTGCTGGATGCATTGGGTTAACGGTTTACCTTTTGTACCTTAGCTGCTGGAAAACTCACGTTTTTTGAGGACTTGTCTAACGAAGCCAAAAATGAGGAGGCCGAAAAAGGTAGGTTTTGGTGGGTTAAGGTGGGGCTTTACGGGGTTTGGCCCTTTGGGCGTTTACCTGGACCCTTTAACTTGTTTTGGTGCTTGTACAGGGACATCGCAGAGCAAAATCGTAGTTTTGTTAAGATCCAATCAAAGCTAAAAGGTTTTTACGGGTGTAGAGTTCGGGGTGCTTTTCTCGATGGGGCCTCCGCTCCACGGAGGCATAGTAATTATGTTGCAGGCTATACGAGGGGTTATGTTGGCCGTGAACAGCCGTGTATTCGGCTTGCGGCTGTTCACTGTTGGTGTTGCATTTTGGGGTTTTACCTGCAGGATTTGGTTTTTTTCTGTGTTTGGATTTCTGGGTTAGCGGTTCAGGAGACGCAGCTTCTAAAGCCTGACGAGTATCTATTGCCGTTTATGCATGTCTGCACCTGGAGCTGCTATCAGAACAAACTTTTGCGGTTAATGTTTTGTTTCGTGACAGTGAGTATACGTGTTAATCTTGATGCCGTGAAGCCACAGTGGGAAGGTGTGTTTCTAGTCTTCTGACTATGTTAGTTTGCTCATGGGCATTTCTGGATCTGCTTCAGCATGTCCGGGATGTCCGCAACAGCACACACACATACACATGGGTGGCTGTCAAAATTAGGGTCCCTTTTAGTTGGGTACCTTAAATAATAGGTGCCGTATTGTATTAGGGACCCAAAAAGGGGCCCTAATTTTGACAACCACACACATGCAAGTGCATGACTGCATCATTGTCATCGTCATTATCGCTCCTGCTACTGTATTATCACCATCATCGTCCTCATCAAAATTAGCCATCATGCCCAGCAGGCTCGTCGTCATCGCCACCACGAGCACAACCATCTTTTGCATCTTAGTTTCGTTTTGTTGAGCATCTACCCGCCACGATTAGTGTCGTCATTACCCCACCAACACCATCTTCATCATTATCCTTCTCGTTGTCGTCATCGTCGTCGTCTGTCCAGGGACATTGTCATGAGGACGTCCAAGCATAGCCATATTCACTCATATTATTCTTCCGCGCAGCACCCGACTTATAAGAGCTTTAGGAGCAACAGGCAACACCCGACCTTTTGGGTGGCTTAGCCGTAAGAAAGAAGGCCCTGGCTTTTAGTGTTGGATCCCATAACCGCGAGTCTTCATACCTCTCTGACACCCAACCATGTGCAAAGTGATTGAACCTTGTAGCGACAATGCCGATCTCGTTTTCGTCCTTTGGACCTTGTAGCGGCAATGCCGATTTCGTTTTCGTCCGGTGTATCTAACACTATCTCGAACTAGTCTCGAGTTAGTTCCTCGGAACTGCGTTCTCGACGCTAGTATTACACAGACACCTGAACTCGACCATTACAAACCTTAAACCCTGATACTTACATGTATATGTGTAGTTATATATATATATATATATATGTACACACACAGACACATCCCCCGAAATCGAAACATCACAGCTGCAGGCAGGCCTGCGTGGCCCCACATGCCAGACGGAGCCTCCCTTCGTTTTGTTTCACGTCAGATGTTAGGGATTTTGGGGCTTAGGGTGTAGGGTTTTGTTTTTGGGTTTTAGGTTGAGGATTTTGGGGCACTTCGGTTTAAGGTTGAGGATTTTGGGGCACTTCAGCAGCTAAAAGTCCCGGTATAGCTAAGGGTTTCGGGTTTAGGATCCGTTTCCTTCTTGAAATCATAATGCAGTGTGCCAGATGCAGACCAACAAGTAAAAGAAATGAGATGCCACAGGTTACTGGGTGCTTGGTTTCTTCGGGGTTGGGGACATGTAAGGTTGTTCAGGCTTCTAGGTTTTCGGGCGACTAAGTTTGGGTCTTAATTTAGGGCTTCTTTTGTGAGAACACAGCCTCATGATTTAGAGTTGCAGGGTGCGTTATGTAGTCTAGGGTGTGCCGGTTGAAACACTTCGCTCTCCCACCAGCCAGGACGCCGACTGCAAGAACGTCGCCGGCTGCGTCCGATGTGCTCACAGTGGTTACTGCACTGATCAGCCAATCTCTGTCGTCGTGTGAAAGTTAAACGACACCCAAGTTTACAGCCTTCTGGGAGCTTGAGGCCGTTTGTCGAAGGTAGAAGCAGTGGCACCAGCAACCTATAAACCCCAAACCCTATAACACCTAAATGCAGGTAGCACTTAGACTTAAAGGATTATGAGACTTAGTAATGTGGGGTATAAGTAAGGTAACTACAGTTATAGTTACTTATAACCCCAATTAATGTACTTCTAACCCTTCTTCTACTAAGTCCCATGATCCACCAAGTACCTCATATCCCCAGGGCTCTAAGGACTCATATTTCAAGGCTTTTGGGGCCATACCACATAAGGCTTTTGGGCTATTTTGAGCCTTAGCCCCAAGGGTCCAAGTACCCAATAATCATATACTCTCCAAAATCCTAACCTACATAACTACTATCCTGAAACCGAGTACCTAATCCAGGACCCAGAGTAGGCCCGTATTCCCTTTTTCAGGTTTTAGGTTCCCTTATGACCCCTTTTAAACCAAAAAGGGCACCATTTTTATTCCTACGCTGCTCTTAGATCTAGTAATAATTGGGTCCTTTGGACCCTTGGGGTAGGGTACCTGTAACCCTTGCCAGCCAGAGCCGATCTTCGGGGACTCTGTCTCCTCGCTGGCTTGTTTTTTGGGGCTGAGGGTTGAGGTTTAGGGGTTTAGGAGTGTAGGATTTAGGGAGTTAGGGGTTTTGGGGCTGAGGGTTCAGGTTTAGGGGTTTAAGGTCGAGGGTTTTAGGGTTTAGGGGTGTAGGGTTTTTAGGGAGTGTGGTATTAGGGCTGAGGGTTGAGGTTTAGGGGTTTAGGGTCTCAAGGAGATACCGTCATTACTTCGGACTTTAGGTAGTATTCCACTAGCTGAGGGTTGAGGTTTAGGGGCTTAGTGGTTTAGGGTCGCGGGTTTTAGGGTTTAGGGGTGTAGGGTTTAGGGAGTTCGGTATTTAAGGGTTAAGGGTTTAGGGGTTTAGTGGTTTAGTGGTTTAGGGTCATGGGTTTTAGGGTTTAGGAGTGTAGGATTTAGAGAGGTAGGGTTTCAGGGCTTCTATCGGGGGCGCGCAGGATCATGCAAAGGCTTCGCATATGAAGCTTTGGAGGCTTGCTGTAGGAATTGATATCGGCCGAGGGATCCTGGTTTCGACATTGGCCTTTTGGAGTTCAAACATTCGACCGACTGCAGCCGCAACAGGGATAAATCCCGCATTGACTATGGTGCAAAGTCTTCCCTAACGTTCTAGCCAGACTTTCAGCTCTGAAAGTCACCAACCCTAACCCCCAAATCCGAAAACCCTCTCCGGTCGATTTCGTGCATCGTTATCCCCACGTATCTCTATTAGTTGAATGGTTCAAATTGAACTAGAAAACACTCTTTCAACGAGATACTGTACCGTCGTTGCTTCGGGCTTTAGGTAGCATTCCACTACAGTTCTTATATGAGTATACTATAGTCTCCCACCACGCACTATTCACTGCAACAGCTGCATCGTTCATGGCGAGTTGTGCTCCCGGAAAGCTGGCGTTGTCTTGTACACAATCTCACCTTCCCTCGCAGCACGAAGGAGCTTCAAACTAAAGCCTTCAAGATTTACGGCTTATAAGCTTCGGGTTCAGTAACCCTCAACCCCAAGCCCTGCGCACTAAACCCTCAACCGTGGGATGCCCAGACTGAAAGCTTCGGGCTGAACGAGAGCGGTTTATTAGGGACCCAAAAAGCACATAAGCATAAGCATTTTATCGGGATATCCGTACCTTATTGGGCTTCATTATAAGGGGATTTGTATGGGATATCCCTACCCTAGTTTTTGCTTATGTGCTTTTTGGGGGCCCTAATTTAGTTGTTTTGTTTCTAGTGCTCAGGTTTCGTCGCTCTGCCTTGATGCCACACCTTATCAGCAAAACCCGAAGGGTGGTTTCCGCGGTCGGAGTTTCAGCCGTTCATTGAGGTTTTAGTGTGTTGTGTTTCAAGTGAAACGGCACCAGAGACCATCCTCGGATACCCTCCTTGACTCCTTGAGAATAACTTGGAATCTTAAAGGGTGGGTTTGGGTGTAGGGTTTATTGTAATCCAGAGGTCTCAAACATCTGTGGTGCAATTATTGGAGAGCCCTTATATACTTTATCTAGAGGCTCATACCCTTCCCTTTTTAAAGGTACCCAATATTCTATATGACGGTCCCAACCATAAAACTAGGTATCCCAAAAAAGGGTAGGGTATGACCCTCTAGGTATGCTTATACTATTATCACAATATGCCCCAGAACCTTCCTCAGTGGTTATTGAAGCCCCTCTTTCTCACGACTGCCCGTTCCAAACCGAGGCTACTGTATGAGTTCCATGCTAGTGTCATCGAGGATAGTTCTTAAGCCCTGAGGTCTGACTTGCCATTAAGTTCTGTAGGGTCTTGTAAGGTTTTAAACTGAAAGGGTTCTATAAGTTGGGAGGGTTCGGGCGATCGGCATTCAAGACTTGCAGTTTCAGTGCAGAAGTTGAGAGGCTGAGTGTTTTGGGTGCAGAGGCTCAGGGTGTTGGACACACTGTTGTAGTAGGGTTGTGGGATGTTGGCTGATATTGGCGTGGGATTTGAGGGTTTGGGTTTTAGGGATGTAAAGACCCTCGTAGTATGGATTACCAATGTCATGCCTTCGTCCTTGATATAATTATACTATCTTATGCCCCAACAGCTTGTCAGATAGATTAATGGCTCTTATGCTCAAGGAAAGGAAGGTGGAGCTTAGTTGAGAAGGGAATGCCGCAAGCTTTGCGGTCACGTCTGAGTCGAATGCGCCGTGCTCTCGCACAAGCTTGAGCCACCTAAACCCAAAGCTCCAAAACTGTGAGCTATAAGACCCAAAACTAAATACGCAAACGCTAGTCGCCCAAAAACTCTAAAGCGTTCAAGCATTCCTGCAGCTCTGGATCCAGATTCATGCTATGAGCAGCCTATGAATCCTAGGCTGAGCCCTCAACCGCACCCTGTCCCAAAAAGCCTTGTGCTTCCGGTGTCAGGGTTCAGGGCTTCGGACGGAAAAAAGGGCGTTTCAGTGTCAACACTCTTAAACCCTAATCGTTTAACCTTAACCCCAAGGGTCCAAGTACCTAATAATCATACACTCTCCAAAATCCTAACCTACATAACTACTATCCTAAAATCGAGTTCCTAATTATTAGGTCCTGTGGACCCTTAGGGTAAGCCCTAGACCCTCAACCGCTTCTTTACTGTCGAGTTGTCCAAGTTTCGCACCAAGCCCAAAAGCTCCATGCACCCATATAGTAGGTACTCAGGCCTCAAAGGGGTCCCTGTATAGGTACTTTAAGGCCTAAGTATATACTATATGGGTACATGGAGCCTGAGGGAAGTGTGGAGCCCTCGACTGAGACTTTTTGCAAATTCAGTTATCTGCGCCTTTGAAAAAGCGACCTCCCCAGCCTGCAATACATCGAATCTTGTGAACAAAATGGTACACTTTTAGAACAACAGTCTAGAACAAAGGACGAGTTTTTTGTTGCATAATCCACCCCAAAGTTGTATTTCAAAAACGAAGGCCTCTATGCCTCTATGTTGCTAGGAATGCGGTTCAGGGTTTCTGAAGGTAGGTATCCTACACGTGTTGGTTTCCTTTACAATTTACAGTATTTACAGGTCCCGTGAATCCCGGATTAACACAGGGTCAAGGTTTTAGGGTTGCGAGTTACCTCAAGCATGAACCCTGAAACCCTCAACCCCAAATTGTGCACCGTGGGTCAGCGTCGCATAAAACGTTGACAGTAGCTCTGCCCGGCGACGCGCACGTTAGCCTCTGGACTGGCGCAGACGAGTCAAAGGAAGCACAGTACCTTCGCTGTCGGTCAAATTCAGGGCCATGAGGATTGAGCCTCGAAAGCAGAAAAAGATAACCATGTAGCGAAAGCCTCCTCAATTCCAATCCAAGTGCTTTGTCAGGCCATAAGGCAGAGGGTCAAGACTCCGAAGTACGTGCAAAAGAGTGTATACACACATATATTTCTTGTTACGCGATGGTACTATACTATACTAGGTCAAATTTGCTTTGATTGTGAAATGTTGCATTATTCCACACACTCGTTTTGAGGGTTGGATCCTTGGGGGCTGGATCAGGGGGGTTTGAAGGCCAAAACCAATTTCCTCAATAGTGCAGTTCAATATACCGATTTAAGGTTTCAAGCTGTTGTAGTATTAGCTTATTTATGTATTTTATTAGGAATTTCAGTGCCGGGGGCACGGCCGTTGACCAAAACATTTTAAAGCACACTGGGAAGCCAGCGTGAGGAAACCCTTTTTTGCCAAACATTTTTGCATTTGTCCAAGCCGGATGTATTGAGCGATGGTGTTCGCTTCTGTCCAAGCCGGATGTGTTGGAAGCTGAAACGTGGTCCTTTGTCACGTGCCACTGCTTGGTTGGCTTGGTTGCTTGGCTTGCTTGGCTTGCTTGGCTTGCTTGGCTTGCTTGGCTTGGTTCGACTCGCCCTACCCATCCTGCACGCCCCAGCTCAGAGTGGTCTTAGAGACCGCTCCAGTCGGGCTCGGACCACGTGAGCAATGGGTCCTTGATCCGTGCGGGACAGCGTCGCTGGCCGGGCGCTGGGGATTTACTCTGTGTGCTGCTCGCCTGTCCAGCCAGGTGGTGTGTCCGCCGCGGGGTGAAATGCACACAGATTGCAGGGAAGGCCTCGCTACTATTAATAAATACTATGCCACGTACCCACACCACGGTCGAAATATTAACTTCGATCACTGCTGCTTGCCGGCATGGCCCCGCATGGCATCTTATGCTGTGCCTCATTGACAGGTCTTCAGTAACCGGCGCGTCGCGCAGCGATTCCGGTGCACTCGATGACGAGCATGACCTGTCCTCTTGCGGGCCGGTATGCAAGGCAATTGGATTTCAGCGCTCCGCATAGGGCAAAGAAGGCAAGCACGACGTCCAAGGCCCTGATTTGCCGGCGCATACTCAGCAGGGTGACCCCATCTTGGCCGAATGGGGGTGG